CCCCCCTCTCCTCTCTGCAGTCCTGCCCAGTTTAACGAGCGTGTCTCTCAGATCTGCCTCCCCCCCGAGCGCTACATCGTGGCTGAGGGGACGAACTGTGAGATCGCAGGATGGGGGGAGACAAAAGGCAAGTGACATCACAACAGATGGCTCGGCCAATCACAGGAGGGCTGGACGTCTGTCCACCTGTCACTGACTTTCTCCCTGTGGTGTTTTTTTTTTTTAGGGACCGGCCTGGAAACTGTCCTGAACGTGGCCCACATGCCGGTTCTTGGAAACAAAGAGTGTAACAAATACTTCAGAGGTCGCGTTCGTGAGAATGAGATGTGCACCAGCTCTTTTCAGGGTGGGGTCGGTGCCTGTGAGGTGGGTGTTCAGGGGCCACGTGCAGCCCGGTTAGATGAAGTGGGCCGGACCAGTGTTAATAACAATAGTCCATGGTTTCCTGCACAAAAGTATAATATTAATTTGATTATTTATTTGATATAACACCACGAACAGGAAGTGTTGTTATCCACCAAGTGGGCCAGATTCACCCCTCTAGTGGGCCGGTATTGGCCCGTGGGCCGTATGTTTAACACCCCTGGTCTAGTATAGAAAAACACATTATGACTGTAACATAAAGATAAAATCCATCAAAGTTTGACTCTGACGGAGCAGTGAGTTAGACAGTGGTACATGTTGCGTTATACTTGTAATAATCATCTGTGAAAACTTGTATTCTCACAATGACGGGCCATGATCTAGACGTGAAAACGTAATAAAAACTGTATTTTATTACGTTCTGACAAATAAATACTTCCATCCACGTCATAACAAACGCAGCACTGACCCCCGGTTGTTGCCCCCCTGTCTGCAGAGAGACTACGGCGGCCCCCTGTCCTGTCAGAACAGCGACTGCTGGGTCCTGGAGGGGGTGATCATCCCCATGAGGCGCTGCGGACACCCGGGGCAGCCCAACATTTTCATCCGTGTCTCAGTGTACGTGGACTGGATCAAGAAGGTGATGGAGATGGCTTAGATACCCTCAGATACCCCAGATACCCCCAGATACCCATAGACCCCCATAGACCCCCAGATACCCTCAGATACCCCAGATACCCCCAGATACCCCCAGATACCC